CGGGATATCCATGTTGCCTTAGCAACCGAAAGAGTAAAGCCACAAAGTGAAGATTATCACGTCCATCTTGCCTAATAACATTGTTGTTGCTGGTATAAATGCTATGAATATTTGCCAATGCTTCTTCAATTTCATGTTCGAAGTGGTAGGAAACCCCCAAACGCTGGACCCAGTCAATGAAGTCTAGCTTTTCTGAAGGACTCTGATCGTTGGAAGATATAACCTTCTTTAACTTCTCTTTCTGTACCTTATGTTCCACATTGTCATCAACTTCCTGAAAAAATCCCAAACAAGCATGTAATTTTCATATGCCAGACTGCACAGATAGGTAATTTTAATACATGTTTAATTTAGAAAGAAACAAACAACCTAGATAGAATGTTCGATCAATATATGTTGCATATAGTTATATATAAAGAATACCTTCGATCCTGAAGCATATTGAAGAAACATATTGCCCCAGATGTTTGGAGCAAAATTGGCACATCTTCTTGTGTTGTCACGATGAGATGCTGCAATAGACATGGCTTCTAGTCTTGGAACGTACGTAATGCGTTTTTGATGGGAAGCTCCCGGTACGTATCGAATCAATTTATAGAGGATTTCATTCATCGAGTCTACTTTCCTAGAGGGTTAGGTGGGGCCTGAGCCTTGACTGTACATGAAGTTGCATGGTAAAAATGGATGGGCCGAACAATTTTGAAAGTTACGCGTACTATTTTTAATTAAATTGCGGCTCTTTCTAGCAATCGTTGTGACATTAAATACTTTCATTCTCGTCAGGGAAATAATTTTCCAATTCAGAATAAGAATGAAGCGTGGTTAAGTTGATCAAGCTAAGGGGTTAATTAATTGTTAGTCTCAAGCAGAAGCAATTGACATAAATTAATAAGTGTGATCAAGTTTAACTGTTCGTCATTAACAAACGGGTGCGTCCAACTTCCAACTTCTAATTTAATCAAATTAATCAAACCGTGTTCATTTTCATGGCAATAAATTTGGGAAATGAAGTCAAAGAGTATTATTCAAATGAAGGGTACCTGATATGACTTTTGAGGATCTTAACTTTCTTTGGGAAATTTCTTCCTTCCCTAGTTCCTTGAAGGATCTCATTTGAATAATAAATCGTGTTTCACCTGCGTTAATTAATTTTTCTTCTTTCAATTCAATTGTTCAGGTTCTCCTTCAAAATGATATCACAAATTAACCCAAGCCTTGAATTGAATCAATCAATGCGTGGAGATCAAAGGATAGTACTAGCTTATGTATTGTATTAGTAGAAATGTCATCACAAGAATTTTCATATTAACATCACAAGTCATAGGCATTTTTTCATTAATATAGTCGTAATAATTTAACTTTTGTCGTTTACTGTGTATTTTCTATTTTTATTCTGTTGAAAGGATAAATGCTTCCAATTTTTATATCTATTTTTATGCATTCAACTACCTGCTGTATTTAATTCATTTTTGTGTGCATTAAGTCATTATTATAATTAGAGAGGTGGGGGTATTTATAGTACTTTGACTTAACTCTTAGCCCTTGAAGTTTAAGAAAATTACAAAGGGTTGGTAGACACATCCTAACCCCCATTTTTATTCTAAGAATAATGGAAAACAAAATGAAATAAATAGACAAATCTTAGGCTTCAAGAATGTGATCTTGCCACTTGTCCATGTGATATTATGGTGGTCATGTCACTTTACTTATGTCATATCAATATCATTTAACTTTAACCTTAATTAACTTCCTTAATCACCATGATTACTTTTCTTAATGATATTCTAGAAACTCTATTCTCTTTTTATTTTCTATTTAAATATTTTTTCTCTAAATGGGCCTCCTTAGGTGTGATTTTTGGGCCAAATGGACTGGAGAATTTTGCAGAAAATTTCACTTCCCTGGGTATCCTTACATTGCACTGAGTATCGGTGTAGTACTGGATGAATTTTTCTGTATTCTGTCTATTTTACTGTCTCAGAAAATTCATCTCAATACACCATTAGCCTTCTCTTAGTGTAAGAAAGTTTCATGATTTTTCTCAAAATTTAATTCGGTTTGAAATTCTCTAAATTCCATTTCTAGCGAAATCAGCATTCTATCGATGATAATTCTGCTTTAAATTTTATTAAAGCTAAGTTTCTCATCATTTGAAGTCAGAAATAATTTTATAAATTATGATAATCTTTCAAGAAAATTTTTTATATTTTTTTTAAGAATTATTGAGGCCTCTAGATATTTTAAATAATTAACTTTGTTCACTATTTCTTAGTGTAACAAAAAATTTATGAAAATATTGAAAATTCTATATTAATTTATTTTCCTTTCCATAATTCCTCTAGGGTCTCAAATGCTGCTCCTTGACCCCTCAATTCTATTTTACATGATTTTTTGAGATTTTTTTTTGGAAATTTTTAACCTAACTTATCCATCAGATCTTTCTTTAACTGATATTTCAAAAAATATCAGTCTTGATACTGTCTGGGTTTTAGTTCAAAACTAATGAGATCTATGTCCCCGCTACACTAACTGATCCTGATCTATTTTAATTCTCTCATTTTCAAAGTTAAAATTTGCAGGATGTTACAGAAGTCAGAGTATTATTCAAATGAAAGATACATGACATGACTTTTGAGGATCTTAACTTTCTTTGGGAAATTTCTTCCTTCCCTAGTACCTTGAAGGATCTCATTTGAATAATAAATCATGTTTCACATGCATTAATTAATTTTTCTCCTTTCAATTCGATTGCCCAAGTTCACCTTCAAAATGATATCACAAATTAACCCAAGCCTTGAATTGAATCAATCAATGCGCGGAGATCAAAGCATAGTACTAGCTTATGTATTGTATTAGTAGAAATGTCATCACAAGAATTTTCATATTAACAATTTAACATCATAAATCATGGACATTTTTGTCATAATATAGTCGTTAATAATTTAACTTTTTTTGTTTAATTACTGTGTATTTTCTATTTTTATTCTGTTGAAAGGATAAATGCTTCCAATTTTTATACCTATTTTTATGCATCCAACTACTTGTTATATTTAATTCATTTTTGTGTGCATTAAGTCGTTGTTATAAAATGCACGCATCGAATTTTCGCTGTGTACTAGATGCATGGATAAATCTTCTTCTCAATAACCATAAAAATTTAGATGAGAGGGTCAATAAAGTAGTCTTTTAATTATATATTTATGGCTGAAACTCAATTATTCCATATTGGCCCAGACTTGACCATGGCAAAGTAACAAGTCTTATATATATAAAATATAGACTGAAACAAAAGAAAGTCGCATGAACTTCAATTAATTCACAAGCAAACGCCATCATTTCATAAGACTTGACCACAACAAAGTAACGAAGTAACAAGTCTTATATGGAATATAGACTTTGGGCGAGTACATTAGACCGATTTTGTTTATTTACAAAATTATACCCATTGTAAATACTAATGATATAGAATTCTCCCACAACGCTGAAATATAAAGCATTTTAAATTATAAGTAAGACATTTAAGTTTAAAATTAAATTCTCAGTTCATAATTAAATTTTTTATTTATAACTGCCTGAGTTAATATTTGCAACTCATTTTTTTAAAATTTTTTATATTTCTTCCGAAAATATAATTTACGGGTGTTTGGTCGGCCATTAGCATCCACAGCATAAAGAGTAAGAGGCCACTTTTTAGGATTTTTGTTTAAGGAAAAATAAAGTTAGATCACAAATCAATAAATTAATTATAAATAAGTTTCTCGAGTTTAGTTTATTACTAGAAATTAAAGTTCCTTGACATTCGGAGATTATGGGAAAAGACATAACTGTCCCTTGACCATCCTTCCTTTGACGTTTTGGCCGCTGTATTGTTGACTCTTGTTGGTAGTGGACTGGCGCCTCATGTCATCTCCCACGGATGCTTCCTCAGGGACAGCTAGTCGACGACGTTCAAGTTTCGCCTTTTTTTTTTTGTTAAAAAAAATTGTTTTCAATTCCATGTTTAATTTTAAAAAAATAATTTATGCACTAAGCAATCTTTACCTTTAAGTGAGTAGTATTTTTCTTTTTCTATTTTACTCTCATCTAATTGTTTTTTTAATCACCTTTATACAAGAATAATATTAATTCATGATTATTTAATATTCAAAAAAAATTCATTCATTCTTTTCTTTCCCCCCTTTTTTATAAATGAAATCTTTAGTTTCACAGTTTGATTTATTTGAGACCTTAGTAGGACAATTTTTTTTTTAAAAAAAAAGAAGTGGACCAAAAAAAGACAAATCAAACGTGTAAGAGATATACATGGACCAAAATAATTATCCCCAAAAATTCTCTTATATGAAACACGAGGAGTATATGAAACCATGCATTTTTTTCGTATGCGTGGAATCACACATCAAATTTCTGTTGACAATCACGCATATGCAAATGTTATTATCCCATTGGTCGCATTTTCATCGTTCAACTATGCACGACATTATTGGTAATCAAAAAAGGAACTGTGCACAGCATTGGAAAGATAATGAAATCCTATGCAAATATAATACTCGTGTTTTTTGTCCAAGAAAAAATAATACTCGTGTTTAATGTTCTGATTGTAAGCTGATGTTAGTCTTATAAGTAAGATCTATTTTGTATGTTTATCAATTTTTTTGAATTAATTCTATTAATATTCTTTCAACAATAATCAAGTAGAAGAGAGAAGAAGGAAATTGAAGAAAATACTTAAGATGTTTTAAAAATATATATATCATGTTAACTAATTTAACTGATATTCTTAATTTATTCAAATTAATTAATTAAGTTTTATATTAAGAATCGGAGATAATATATTGAATGTATTGTCATGATACCTTTGGACTTTGCTTGTTACAAAGCCTAAAGCCAATGTGACTACTGATCAACACCTACAAAGATTAGTCGTAGTATTAGACAAGATTCTCCAGCGTGGTACTTCTATTCATGCCCTAAACAAAATTAAAGAGAACCAGGAACAAACCTCAATCCATAAACAAACATAATATATCCATATCACCATCAAACTTGGCACATAACACAACAATGTAATGTTTGAGGGACTCGCCATTGGTGAATCTATCTTGTAGATTCTCATAGACAACCTCAGACACCCTAGCCCAATTGACGACATAGTCAAGCAGAGATTTTGGGATGTCGTATGGATTGTTCAGATGCTCTTCATTAATGTCCTTCCAGCAATTTTTGACATCATCCTTGATTATTTTGTAGGCTTCTTCTTATGAAACTCCATATTGTTTCATAAAACATCCACTCTTGAAGCAACATGCTCTCTCTCCTGCTCAAAGTACATGTCCATGTAAATAAAACCAGAAAACTCTTATTTATCATTTCCTCCAAATAATATAAGTATATATGATATATTTATTTTCAACAGAAATATGTGTAAGGTTTAGAAGTACCGAGAACATCTATACAATTTAAGTGAAACCAAAAAGAATGGTATAATTTACTCTAATGTTTTTTATTATTAAAACTTGATATCGATATTTTAAAATTAAATATACATGCATGAATGAAGTTTTGTTGTTTGTAAGTAAATGCATATTATGTTTTCTCATTCAAAATGTTCAGTTACTATGAGTATATAAATGCCCACGCATATTGTCTTAGTTGTACCTCATGAGTGGCCACGTCATCCATGAGTCTGCCAATAAGTGAGACAGCTTCAATTATTTTTGGATTTGTGGAAATCCAATCAAACACCTCTTCGGTTGCTAGGTTTCCAGGGCCCAGGAAAGAAGTTATCTGAAGTGGACCAAAAGAAGATACAACTCCGTTATTCTTGTACTCCTCATAGCTTGGGACGTACTTTTCACTGCACCATTTTGCTTCCATCAAGTATGCCTCGGCCAAATTAATAAACTACAACCAGAATATGTAATTAACTAAGTGAAAATGAATAAGTATAACATCATCTGTGTTGAAATTAAGTTATAAAGTCATTGCTTCTATACTGCTTGTTTAACATGCGGCATCACAAAATTTGACGTCCCTTCTTTTGCAGCCACCATGTCGATTTCATTGCAAGCTTGTATAACTGCTTCAAACGCCGCTTTCATGCAGTCTGGAAGTGATTCAACGGGACTTCAATCCCATCTAATAACCAAATAATAAGAAGGAATAGTCAAGTCGTTTATAAAATTGATGATTAATTTTCACTTTTCAGCAATAGGATTGGTAAATAATTTGGCCCTGTAATCTGTTATCAAACCTGTGGATGGCCTATGTGAAAAGTTCAAGTTCTTCAAGTGTGCCATAGGTGTCATAGATATCATCAAGAAGACAGATAATAGCAACCAATTTGCCAGTTATCATTCTTGTAGTGCTGAGTTGAGGCTCATAAGACATGGCTAAAGACCAAAAGTAGGATTCCACCAATTGATCTCTGGCATAAGGCACCTCTTTGGGCAACTCTGTTTCTTTCCACCACCTGCAATACAAATAAACAATCCCGCTTAAGTACTATCATATGTACACACACCACGGATCATTACTGTTAACAAATATAGCACTTCATTTACTTGGTGATATTGCCAATTTCTCTTTTATGCAAATGCTGCAGCATATTGAAATCCAGTTTCGCAAAGTCAAACAACTTTATATGATTTTGGGAAGGATCTTGCTGTTGGTAGAAAGACATGTAATGCCTTGCCTCTAGCCTATGCAATCTCTTGTGCAGAGGCTGACTTAAGCGGTGGTTGACACGTGGATTGAGACAAGGGCTCAGTTGGTAGTTATCTATGAGGGATTTAAGGCAGGTGTAAGTGAAATGAAGAGCTTCATCCAGTATGCTCTCTTCGGGAACCTCCAATTGTGTAGCTTCATACAGGGCCAACATTCCTTCAACATCGTCTTCGGCGAGACTTTCATTATTAAGCTTTCCCTTGATGTCCTTGAATCTCTCAAATACATCTATTTCACATGTATGTATACTGAGCATACCAATTAGTAGAAGTGCTTGAAAAGAGAAATGTAACTCTTCTCATTAAACAATGCAAATATAATTGTGATGAAGTTTGAACATACAAGATGAAACGGGATATCCATGTTGCCTCAGCAACCGAAAGAGTAAAGCCACAAAGTGAAGATTATCACCACATCCTGCCTAACAACATTGTTGTTACTGGTATAAATGCTGTGAATCTTTGCCAATGCGTCTTCAATTTCATGTTCGAAGTGGTAGGAAACTGCCAAACGTTGGACCCAGTCAATGAAGTCTAGCTTTCCTGAAGGACTCTGATCGTTGGAAGATATAACCTTCTTTGACTTCTCTTTCTGTACCTTATGTTCCACATTGTCATCAACTTCCTGAAAAAATCCCAAACAAGCATGTAATTTTCCTATCCCAGACTGCACAGATAGGTAATTTTAATACATGTTTAATTTAAAAAGAAAGAAACGAGCTAGCTAGAATGCTCGATCAATATAGGTTGCATATATATATATATATATATATATATATATAGAATACCTTAGATTCTGAAGCATATCGAAGAAACATATTGCCCCAAATGTTTGTTTGCAGTAAAATTGGCACATCTTCTTGTGTTGTCACGATGAGATGCTGCAACAGACATGGCTTCTAGTTTTGGAACGTAAGGTGTTTGATGAAAAGCTCCTGATATGTGTTGAATCAATTTATAGAGCATTTCATTCATCGAGTCTACTTATGGAAAAAAAGGATGGGCAGAAAATTTTGGAAGTTACGTGTACTACCTTTAATTAAATTGTAGCTCTTTGTGAAATCGTTGAGAAATTAAAATACTTTCATTTATGTCAGGGAATAATTTTCCAATTCAGGATAAGATTGAAGCGCGATTAAGTTGATCAAGCTAAGGGCTTAATTGTTAGTCTCCAGCAGAACCTTTTGCCGTAAATTAGTAAGTGTGATCAAGCTTATCTATTCGTCATTAACAGACGGATACGTCCATGTTCCAACTCCTAATTAAATCAAGTAGTAAAACCATGTTCAGTTTCATAGCAATAGATTTGGGAAATGATTATTTAATATTCCAAAAAAATTCGAATTGTTTAATTTTTTATCACCTTTATATATACAAGATTAATATTAATTCATGGTTATTTCATATTACAAAAAAATGCATTCATTCTTTTCTTTTTTCTAACCCTTTATTTTCACATTTTGATTTATTTCAAACCTTAGTAGGATAATTTTTATAAAAAAAAAAAAAGTGGACCAAAAGCGACGAATCAAACGTGTAAGAGAAATACATGGACCACTATAATTATTCCCAAAATTCTCTGATATTAAACACGTGGAGTATTTCGAGACCATGCATTTTTTTTATATGCATGGAATCACACATCAAATTTCTGTTGATGAGGCATATGCAAATTTTATTATCCCATTGGCCGCATTTTCATTGTTCAACTAGGCACAACATTATTGTTGGTCCAAAGAAGAAACTGTGCACAGCATTGGACAGATAATCGAATTCTAGATCAAGAAAATTTGTTAAGTTATTTATTTGTAATAAATAGGTATTATCTTCTCTAAAATACCCTTACTAATTATATGTATTAGAACTATCATTTGATTGAATATTTAACATGTGCAACCACTACAAGGACTACTTTGAAAAAAAAATATGAGAGATAAAGTAGATTGAGGTATGGTATTATATTTAGAAATAAATTAAAAATCAAACTAATTTTTATATTAAAAATTGAAAGAGATAATTTGGAGTATATATTATCGTGACGCTTTTGGACTTTGCTTGTTGCAAAGCCTAAAGCCACGTGACTACTGATCAGCACCCGTAAAGATTAGTCGTAGTATTAGACGAGATTATCTAACGTAGTACGTTTATATTCATGCCTTAATCAAAATTAAAGAAAACCACAAACAAACCTCAGTGCATAAACAAACATGATACTACCTCTCGATTCTTAATATAATAGCTCATTTGATTTTTAAGTAGTGTATCCATATCACCATCAAACTGGGCACACAACATATCAAATTCAAATAAATGAATAACAAGTCTTACAATCTAAAATATATCAATAAAGCTACCTCATGGCTCAATAGGTATCCGTGTTGCCCGTGATATTGAGGAAGAATTTGGGGGGGGGGGGAAGAGGAGTGGGGATAGACAATGGGAAACACGTAAAGGAGAGAGTAAAAAGTCAAGAATGAAGAGGAAAAAGAAAAAAGAAGACGATTCACCAAGCAGAAGAAGTAAAGGAGTCCATATCCGGTGACAATCTCTAAGGACTTGTTAGAGCAGAACTAAAATAAAGAAAAGACAAAACATGAAGCAAAAAATGATGGTTGAAAAGGTAGGCAAACAGAATGATCTTATCTGTTATTTATTTACCAAATCCGTGCGTTGTCCTCTTTCCATTTACAAATACCAAATGCAGCAGTAATTAGGCCATTACACCTGGCTGTTGGTTGTATCTAGTGCATGCGCATTAATTTGATGCCAAATTTTGAGGATGATTCCCCTATAAATGAATTGCAGGAACAGCAATACATGCAATGGTTTGCAGTAAATAACAAGAGACGTTGGATATGGCACACTTGGGAAATTTAGAAAAGGAGAAACTGATGAGCAAAAGTTTGATGGGGTCCAATAATTGCAGAGAGAAGTTAGGTAGAGAAGGAACCAGAGGATGGGGTTGGTGAGTTGCTTCACTCATTAAACCCAGACTCATCAAACTCGTTTGCTATAATATTCTATACATGCTTCGTTCAAAATATGGCCACCAAAAACGAAAAGAGTTTCCATTTTTATTGATTTCTACAACACACATCTCTCAGTGAATGGTGGGAGAAGAGAGAAAAGGTGCTATTGGGAAGTTGAAATCTGGTAAATGAAGCGTCTGCATCAGAAAAGAGCACTGCTTACTGCCCTAGGATCAAACAAAGGAACGGTGGCGTGTGATGAGGCAACCATCAGGTGAAAGGGACATCAAGTGCTCAAGGGTTTGTGATTATATGTGTGTGTTTATACTACCTCCTATCCTTAACATAAGACCTCATTTGACTTTTATTTTAGTCTCAAATATAAGACCCCAATCCACTTTGCCTCTCATATTTATTTATTTTTTTCATAAAGTAATCATTCTAATAATAGTAGTTCTAACTAATACAATTCACTAGTAAGGATATTTTAAAAAAAACAACACTTATTTATTACAAATAACTTATTTAACTTATTTTCTTAATATATTCAAATTAATTAACTACTCCTCTGGTCCTTAATATAAGACCCATTTAACTAATTTGATTAGATTAAAGAAGTTAGATAAGTGAGTTAATTATAAGAAAAGTGACACATTTTTCCTAAAATACCATAATCATCTTTCTTAATACCCCCTCCCTCTTCTACTTGATTATGGTTGAAGGAGTATCTATAGGGGTAATTTAGAGAAAATTGATAAATATGATAAATGAATCTTATATTTAGGATCAAAACCAACTCAAAAATTAGGTTTTATATTAAGGATCGAAGGAGTATCTTTTGCCTTTAGGACTGGAGGTAGTATATTGTTTTTAGATAGATAGGTAGATGTTGTTGACTCACTTTGATTACAACGTTCCACCATTTACGAGGAATTATGCTAATTAACAGCCTACTTGGCTCAGTGACTTCTTCCTTCTCTCCCCCGTAGCATTGAACAACCCCCTCTGCTAATTTCTAATTAACATCGTCACACTGCATCGAACCAACATACTCTGTCATTTGTCTTAGGTGATGAGCTTGCTTGGTTCAATCGTCAATTTACAACATGCTCTGTCAATTAATGTTAGTTTTGGAGAAAAATATTAAATTAATTACAAGACAAAATTATTATCTTTATGTAAAAATTGACACAAATCTAAAAGATTTACAAATTTAACAAAATCTGAAAAATTTACTATATTATAAAAGGTAAGTAAAAATATTTATATTACTACATCAAAAATAGTTATATTGTGATATTGTTATATTTTTAAAGATAAAAATTATTATAAAAATTGAAATATTTAAATATTAATATTTTAATTGTATTAAAATTCAAGTAATTTCTACATGTATTAATTTTAATTTAAAACTGCTAATATTAATTCCAACTTTAAAAATATATCTAGTAATTTTATATTTACTTCTCATATTTATATCATCATATATATATTTCTAATATTATTTTTGTTAAGAAAACTGGAGCTACATATCAATCTGGTTTGAGTCGTGCCAGTAGATATTGTCCTTAAGAGTTATTCCGTCACCATAGGTAAATATGGATGTAGCACTGCCCAGGATTAAACAAACTTTTCTTGCAGCAAATAGGGTGACATAAAAGCAAAAATAGAAATATAACCCAGCAACAGAGAGAGGAGAAGAAGAGAAATGCAAAGGAGAAGACGAATGCTCAAAGGCTCAAAAGTAGTGTGTTGAACACACCATCTTGAACCCCTTTATATAGGCCACGGAATATCGGAATGTTGGGCACCACACTTGTGACAATAAACACAATTAAATCATCAGTTTCAGATGTTGGCACAATAAACTATATTTACACTTTCGGTTATGAACGTTAGATACATTCCAAAATTGAATTTAGATGTTGGCAAGCATTAATTCATGAAAAACGATTTAAGGATTAATAAAAGGATAATCTTGGTTTAATGAGGAATAAAACTTTCCAAAAATTCAGTAACCTCTGACTAATTCAAAAAATAAACTGATAAAATAAAGGTTTTTGTAAGAGGTGTATAATGTTGTCTTAACTCATGCACAGGAGGGGAATCATTAGTTTTCAACTGCATTTCCTCTGGTGAGCCGTTGTCATATGCGTGAGATCCTACTTCTCCTCTAGACCCATTCACTAGCCCAATAATATAAGACAGTATATATATACTTTAGCTTCCTCTCTCTTGAGTAATGTGGGATTTCACTTTTAACACACCCACTTATATTTACAACAATTTTTTTTATCTGATTATTATATTTTAAAATATTGGATATAACTTAAGAAGGAAGCCGAACAAGCATGAGAAAGAAATCTTGCAGATTTTGAAATGATAGAGAGAGAAAGGATTGAGGGGGAAGAAACTTCAAATTTTGAAACTCCCATCTTTACACTCTAGGAGAAGTATCTGGAAAACATGCCATACGCAAAATTAAAAATGCACGTAGCCCAAAATTAAACCACTACTATTCATAGAACATTATTCTGAGTGAGGAGCCATTATGGAGGTGAAAATGAGCCGGCTTGTAGTTGATTTTTATTTAATATTATACATAATTATCCTTTGACCATCCTTTTCTTTTTACCGCTGTCGACCATCAGATCACAACTAATTAAGAAGACTGCGTACCAATCTAATTAATTAATACTAACTTCGATCCTAATTTGAGCAGATTAAAAAAATAAGTTAAATTAGTTATTTATAATAAATATGTTTTGTCTTTCCTAAAATATCCTTACTAATCAAGTCTATTAGCTGGAATTACTATTATTAGAAAGACTACCTTTAAAAAATACATAATATAAGAGACGAAGTGGATTGGAATCTTATATATTTAGGACCAAAATAAAATGTGCTATAATTTTCTTTTCCACTTCCAACCAAATCAAATAAATAAGGGAAAATTAATCTTTCAACTCTTATACTTTTAGCTCGGCCGCGATTCAATTTCTCAAGTTTGACTTGTTACAATTTAATGCTTTCAGTTTTAATATGTTACGACTCAGCCCTTAAAATCGCTAAAACTGACTCAGTCCTTGAGAACTCATCTACGCGACAGAAAATAGAGTAAGGAAGAGGGGAAGAGACGCCGTGGCTGAGGAAGCTGGACTAAGTAGTCCAGCAAGTTAGATTCTGTAATATTGTTCGGCTTTTGAATGTTATTTGATGGAACGCTCTTCATGTCCCACAGTATGAAACTTTTTCATCAGCTTTATTTGGCTTCAAAGAAATCAGATTATGAGAGGTGGTTGAAATGGATCTTCCGTTCTGGAAATGAGGTGGCCAAGTGACATTGCCCACTAGGGGAAGGAGGCGTTAGGGTTTGGTGGAAGGAGGAAGGTGTGCGTGGGAGAATTTAATTTGCAAAAGAGATGAGGCTCCAGGAACAGTTGTTTCGGGGTCCTCTTTAGAAAAATAAAAAATCTGCTGCAACTCATGCCCACCTTCCTCATCCGTCACCTCTCTTCTCATCTTTCTTCCTCACTTTCTCTCTCTTTCCCCTTTCCAAATAAGAATGATTTGGAGCTTATTAAGATGCCACCTCAGCTCTATTTTTTGCCACATGGATGAGACTTAGTTTTAGCAATTTTAAGTACTGAAGTCAAACTTGAGATTAAACTTGAGGACTACCAAGTTAAAAGTATCAGGATTAAGAGATTAATTTTAGGAAAAATTAATCTTTTGATCTTCTAACTTTTAACTCATTTTTAACTCAGTCCTCTCTAACTTTGACACAATGTAACTCAGTCCCTGAACTTTCAACTCGGTCATGACTTAGTCTCTCAACTTTTCACATTTAATAACTTAATCCTTTTTCATATATATATATATATATATATATGTTGAGTCATCAATTAATTATCTGATGTGACAAAAATAATTATTTAAAAGTATTAAAAGTTGCAATTAGAGCTTCCGGCATGGGGGGAAAAAAGCATCAGCTTTCTTCTTCAACAACTCCGGCGAGGCCACACCGGGAAAATTCAAAAAGGATACAGTGTGAATCAAAAAGTCAGCCACACCGTGTGCAGCGCAGGCCCTATGACAAGTACACTGTCCAATTCCAATATAAATTAGCACTATCGAATTGTATCCTTGAAGTTGAATCAATTACAGAACTGAAAGCACCTGGGCACCTTTACATCTGTCACTGCTGACATTTGGAGACCAGGTTAGAGAAGCATAGTTCAAATGGAGTCTCATATATGGCATAAAATTGCTGTGGTTTCCGGTAATCTCTATCTTTGGTCCACCAAACTTCTATTTACTTGTTTTTCCACATCCATTCTTATTGCATCTGTTATTCCAACTTGCAAATTTTCTGGGAGAAAACGTGGAGTTCACCATCTTACTTGCTGCAACATTGAAATAGGAGTAGCAGCATGCAGAGTTCACCATTTGGTTCACACTACAGCCTTTTTGAATTTCGCCGGCGTGGCCTTGCCAGAGCGGGTGAAGAACAAAGAAGAAAGCTTATGCTTTTTTTTTTTCTACGCTAGAAGCTCTAATTGCCATTTTTAATACTTTTAAATAATATTTTTGCCACATCAGATAATTAATTGATGACTCAACATAATTTATATATGAAAAAGGATTAAATTATTAAATGTGAAAAGTTAAGGGACTGAGTCATAACTGAATTAAAGTTCAAGAGTCGTGTCTAGTTATAGTTGAAGGACTGAATTAAAAATGAGTTAAAAGTTAGAGGACCAAAAGATTAATTTTCCCTTGATTTTACTAATAAATAAACATCAAAATTTTGTTTTCCTCCACTTACCTCCCTTCCCTCCTCTTCGTTCCCAACTAAAATTTTACTCACAAATATCATATTCTCTTCGAAGCACTTTGATTTTGATCCGACTTATACTCAACTTACAGCTGCGGCGTTGCTCTAAGAAAAATAAAAAATATTTAATGCCGTTTGTTTGTCTAAGATTGGGGGGGGGGGGGAACTCCCTTGCTCATATAAAGGCAACATACTCTTCTGTAGATATGCTTGGTCCTATATAAAAATTATGATTAGCATTTGTCCAAAAATTTAATGCATATTTTTATTTTTACCTACAATTAATTACATGAATCTCTCCTCTTTCATTTCCACCCATTCTCTCTTACCTCTTCTCTCGCTCATTCTCTTTCTCACTCATCATCTTCAATCAAAAACACAAAAACAAGCTTATTCCCAAAGGACACGGGAAGATACATTTCACCCTTGAAGTAAACAAAAACACCCCATATATATATATATATAAAATATGCCACACGTTGAATTTTTCATGATACTCCTGAGTAAAACCAAGCAACGAATTAAGGAAACACTAATATAAGATAATGATCATATTTATGGCACAGGGTCAAGGATCACAAGTTGAATAGAATCCTTCATGAGTCCTCCAGAATGCGTGAAGTTATCGACATCCTTGTACATGACATTCATGAAACGAGTCACGTTCAGAACTCGCATCAGAATGGGCTTTGGCATCCCTTGGCTAATATTTGGTCTCAGACACTCTTCATTAATATCCTCCCACGCACTCCCGATCTTCTTCTCAAGTTCACCAATGGCTTCCTCCTTTGACACTCCATAATCCTTCATGTAGCATTCTATCAGTGACGCAATGTGCTCTCTTTTCTTCTCAAACTACATCAATAACTATATTAAGCACCAAATCTTCACCTTAATTTCTAGTTCGAAAGAATTAATGTGTGTATATGTGTAGTTACCTCACCAGAGACAATGTCATCCATGAGTCTGCAAATAAGTGCAGAAGCTTTAATGACTTTAGGGTGAGTTTGGGCCCACTTGAAGACATCCTCGGAGGCTATGTCTCCCATGCCGATGAAAGAAGCAGCGGAAAGAGCTGGATAACAAGTTGATACTGTCGATACGTTCATGTACTCCTCTGTTGTCCGAATATGCTTCTTATTTAACCATCTTGCTTCTGTCATGTAGGCTTCCACTGCCTTTTTAAACTTTCATCAACGAAATTACAGTATATTTGATATCGACGGTCACATCTGGTTCGTTTATAGTTTCAAAAAGTTGCGGAATTGATGATGGTTAAAAGAACAAAGTCATTCATATGTATAATATATATATATACCTCTTGTTTGGAATAGTAAACACTGTATGATCTTCCTTCTTTCCCCATATCTTCATCTATTTCTTGGAAAACGTTCAACAGTTCCTTGTAAAATAATTTGATATATTCTAGGAGATTGTCCAAGCAACGAATATGCCAGCATTAATTCAACAGCAGGAAAACCAGAAAAAGAGATGGTGAGATATATATATATACACACACACACTGATTTCTTCTAAACAGATAGATCAAAACTCGAGAATTCAGATCAGAACTGATATAAACCTCTGGATTGCCTCGTTGAGGAGTTCTAGTTCATCGATAGTTCCATACGCATCGAATGTATCATCAATGATGGATAGTAGGGCAATCACTTTGGTCATTATGCTTCTAGCTTTAGAGTACTGAGGCTCAAAATAAACCGTAAGAATCCAAAAGCATAGTTCGACGATCCTGTTTCTTGCATATGAAAGATTTCTTTGCACATCCAATTTGTTATACCACCTAAACGTACGTAGAGACCAAAGAATTATTAAAGCGAAGTTTCTTGCATTTTCATAATCAATATAACATTTTTCTCAAAGTGACAAACTAATTATTTTATCCGAAGAGGCTCGAGAACTCACTTGCAGAGATTGCCGAACTCCTTCTGATGCAGTTTTTGGAACATATCGAAATCTAATTTCGCCAGCTTCAGAAGAACTTGATTACAGGAGGGATTCAAGTGGTATATGGAAATGTACTTTCGTGCCTCTAGCCTTGGCAATCCCCAGCTGTAAGGACACTGCTTTAAGCTATGGCGGAGTTTTGCTGCGAGAAAAGGGTTTGATTCAATGGTGGTGATGGAGCGATGAAGACGATTGAAAGTAAAAGCAAGCGCTTCGTCTAAAATGTCCTCTCCATGAACACTGAGATGCGCAGCTTCGTACAAACTCAACATCCCTTCAACATCTGATGCTATCTTTTCACTGAAGCTTCCTTGCTCATCCTTGAACTTTGTTGAACATATCTTATACATGGTAATGAAATATATGTTTATATCTTTAGTTATTAATAAAACATATTGAAGGAAGCAAATTAAACTCATAGTATAGCAAATATACACACACACATACCAGGTGAAATGGGATACCCTTCTTGCCTCAGTAGCTTAAAGAGTAGAGCGAGAGAATGGAGATCTTCAGTATGAGTTACAATTTCATTATTTTGCACGTAAGTGTTGTGAATTTGCTGCAGTAGGTCATCGATCTCACGTTAAAAAAGGTACGACAAGCCCAAACGTTGAATTGAATCAATCAGTTCGAGTACTTTGGTTGAGGGCTTCTCCATCCTTGTAGATATGAGCATCTTCCCCGCTTCTTCTTTCACTGTTTCAACTTGTTTCCCCATTTCTTCATCAACTTCCTGCACAGTTTTTAAGCAACTCATCGTTATCAAGTAAACCAAGATAACAAGAAGTATATATATACATATAGAGAGAGAGAGAGAGCTTCAAGTATATACCAAAGATTGGGAAGCAGATTGAAGGAAATAATCCTTCCAAAGAGTAGGATGATAATCTGCAAGATGTCGACGCAAATGGGCTGATGTAGAAGGAACAAGGGTCGTTGAAGCAGCAACGATAGACATCTCGTGAGTCTACGCTGTAGCCACAGTGTAGGGTATGTGTGGGTATTTATAGGAAAAGTCAAAGATCAATTCATTAAATTATTCTTCTCAATTAATTTGCTCCTCTCACCTGGGGAATTAGAATCCATGCACGTTTCTCACAATTTATAAATGGCGGGTCACTAGTGAAAAAGTTAAAAGAAATGGGTGGGCACACATCATTTTATTTTTCTTACTGCCTCCTGTCATAAATATAAGAGATAAATATAAAATTTGTTCTGACTCAAAGGAGTAGTTAAATGCGTAGGATTGGAAAGCGCATTCTAAAAAAACACATTTATTATAATTACTAACTTAATTAATTTTTTATTTTTATGAGTTATTATCTAACTTTTATACTAAGGATGTGAATTAGTTTTTTTATTTTAGACTGATTATTGAAGGAAGACAATATATGTGTGAAAAATTATCCATTTCTCTTCCATTAAGTTGTTCTTTAAGCGATTAACACTTGTCTAAAAACTTGTGTTCAGCATCAATTTCATTCAAACAATTTAATTGAAAAACGACTTAATCAAATAAAATTTAACTGAAAAAAAATGAAATAGCATAACAATTTTAAATGAGACCTCATGAAATATAATGAAGTGTGTATATTCTTTCTACACAAGTAGTTATATAAAATTTTTTTTTGGGTGATAAGTTATATAAGTATTTAATATTTCATGTTTAGGAAACAAATGGCATATTAAAATTGGGGCAATACTTATATGAAGTTCCTCATGTTTATTACCTCAAGTTGTGATTCCTATTTTGAAAATATTAATATTTAATAATATTTAATTATAAATTCATATAAAATAAAAAAAGACATATGATCATGTATGATTAGAAAATTTGACATAATGGATCAGTAATTTGACCTAAGTTTTTTTCTTAAAATTATTCTTTTACTATTTTAATTTCTTTCAATTTATTATTTATGTTAAATATATTGTTCCTCGTTTTATTTTCATCATAAATTAGCGTGAGGGCTAATTAACAAAGCCTGAAAATTGTAACCTTGTGATCAAGATAAAACGTGAAGGAAAATGAAAGGAAAAAGAAGTGAAAAGATCCCTCTCCCGACATAAAATATTGTGTTTGCGTATCCATCGGAATTACCAAAGGAGGATGTGCCACACTAAATGGGCTTTTGCGAGGGCCAACAAAATGGGCCCCAGCAATTTTAACTAATCCATGATAGGATATTGTCGGGCCGAGATCCTTCCTATTTGAAGCACACGTTATAATCGTTTCTGGCCCAAAATACTTCTTTTAAAAAAAAGTTATCTGAATTAGTTATATCTTGTCTCGGAGCTTTGTAGTCTAGAGTAAGTTGAAGCCACGAAAGGCCATTTTTGGGGTGGGGTGGGGGGGGGGGGGGACTATTTTCAATGCATAAACAAAATTTCCTCTTTAAAAAAAAAAAAGAAAAACCATTATGTGATTCAGAAAAAAAAAAATTTGTCATTATTAAAAAATTTTATAACAAGAGAATGATATGTTTCCAGTACCAAATGACAACATGATTTATGCTATTTAATTGCTATAGGAACTTTTTGATAAATATTTTTTTTAGGCTTATAGTGATTTTTCCAGGTATTAATGTGAAAAAACATAAACACAGTTTGTTTTTTCATGCACAAAAAAAATCTAAATTAATCTTTTTATCATTAAAAGTCACTTAATGACTATTAAAATTATTTTATTTTATTTTTTCAATCAAAAGCTAGTATAGTTGGGATACGTTTGGTTGTCCTCGTACTTCCAATAGAAATTAGCTAACAATGCCAATGGATAACTCTTTGTCCTCCATATTATTATTTGTACATTTTTAATAATCATAAAATTCAAAATAAATAAATTTTATTTTTTAACAATCACTTATCAAAATGTAACATTTCATTTTCTTAAAAAAAAGTTAACTAATTAAAATTTTCAAATTTAAATCATATAAATTAGGTTGGGACAATGATTTAGATACTCCTCTTGTTTTACACGTAGATAATTTGTTCTGATCCACTAACTTATGTGAGTTTCTTAATCTATTTCAATTAATTAAATAGCTCTTATATATATTAAAAATGGTAGGGAGCTAGTACAGATTAATTTTATTCTTTGTCCTTCCTATTGGCTCATGTGTGTTAATCACATGAGATAAGAGGAAAAAAGAACATATCTTTTTTTATTAATAACATGCTAAGATCAAGCAATACAAATAACAATCAACCCTCTAAAAGTGACGAACATAGAAAAAATTAAACCCTTGTTTAAAAGGTGAACTAACACCAACATTGACAAATGAGAAGGGAACCTTTCTCTAGGTGAGGATCCAGCCTCTATATTACTCCCAAGCCATAATCCTTTATATATAGACTTACGATAGTAGCTATCCCAATTTTTTTGTTACCCAACATCTAATACTACTTCAACAATTTGTCTAAGTAAGGAGACTGTAAACTACTACCTCCAGTGCTTAATATAAGATCTAACTAGTTAACTAGATCTTATATTAAAGACTAGAAATAGTATAAATGTATGAGAAAAACGAGGTTGCTGCTCCTATAGGCACAGGATCCACCAACAAATCTGTAATGGAATTCTTCATGATGCCTTTAGCATGAGTGTAATTATCTTGTTCTTTGCAAAGCCCGTCCATAACACGAGCTAAGTTCAGAGGTGGGCATTAGAAAGGGCCTGTCCACTCCCAAAGGTCTAAGGAGTTCTTCATTCATATTCTTCCACGCATTACTAACAACCTTACGAAACTCTTCAATGGCTTCGTGCCTTGTCACACCATGTTCCTTCATATAGCAGTCAAGAACAGACACAACGTGCCCTCTTTTCTGTCAAACTGTACGCACACAAATTAAAAGGTTTCAAAATCACCAAATTAAATGATCTTCATTTTAATTATGTATGTCATATAATTAAGTATCTCACTAGAGACAATGTCGTCCATGGCTCTGCAAATAAGGGAAGAAACTTTGACAAGCTTCGGCTGACTTGTAACCCATTTGAACATGTCCTCAGTGGCAAGATGTCCCAACCCAAAGAAAGATACTGTTGAGAGCAATGAATAACAAGAAGTTATCACTGCTGTCTCAAGGTACTGTTCTGTTGTTGGCACGTAGTTTTCATTGAACCATTTGGCCCCTCTCATGAAGGCTCTCGCCGCCTTCTTCATCTGCCATCAACTTACATCGTCACTCTTTAGGTGACTAAATATAATTGTATATAACTAAGAACTTTAATTTTCTAAATTGTTTATTGGGAAAATTAGTATTTTGATTTTTGACTCGATTGTAACCAAGTCCTTAAACTGTGACTTGGTTCATTTGATCATACTTCAGATATTGCGTAATTAATGCTGTACTCCCTTCCTCATGCACTGATCCATTTCATCATAAACATTCCACAGTGCCTCGTAAGGTAACTTCATGTAGTCTGGGAGATCATCCAAGCAGCAAATATCTCACCTTATACAATCATTGATCGGTTAATACTTTTATTTAATTAAAAAAACAATATATTAGAACCAAACATTAAAAAAACGCAAGATTTTCAGTGTGTACACACTGATATGTACCGTATATACCTCTCAAGTGCATCAGTGAAAATGGTCAGCTCATCGATGGTTCCAGAAGCATCATAAGTATCATCAATAAGGGATAAAACGGCTATCACTTTGGTGAGTATCAATCTGCCTAAAGAGTATTGAGGCTCAAAATAAACTGCAAGAATCCGAAAGTAACATTCCACAATCCTGTCTCTCGCATATGATAGATTTCCGGGCACATCCAAGCTGTTCCACCACCTGATCCGTAACCCCACCAAAATCCATTAGCTCTATATATATAGCAAGAAAGTAATTAAGTTAACCTAAAAGGCTTAGATCTATCGTCGTCACTAGCTAGTCTAAGCTCTCAGTTTCCTCGCAGCGTGAAAGAAACATGGTGGGTCATAGGCTCAAGAAACATGGGGCCGACGCCCCCCACAACATGTACAATGTTTCTTTTTCTGTCCGCAAAGAGATAATTCCATATGTTATAATATATGGGTGGTTTCAATTTATTAAGCCCAATGCTATTCCATAGAAGACTTGTCACATCAACTTAAGTCCATCCACATTTAGATATCCTTACAATTAAAGGAAAAAAATCTAAGGTTCAAGAGGTTCAAGGACTTACTTGCGAACATCTGCAACTTCTTTCTGATGCAGATTTTGAAGGACAATGAAATCTAATTTTGCTAAGGTTAGCAAGGCTTCATTGTGGGAAGGTTGTAATTGGTAGATTGAAATATACTTTCGAGCTTATAACCTTGGAATTTTCCTGTGGAGAGATTGCCTTAAACTATTATGAACTTGTTCACCAAGCTAAGAAATGTGTTTGGTTCAATAGTCTTGATGATGGCCGGAAGTTGAGTGGAAGTGAAAGCCATGCTTCATCTAAGATTTTTTCTCCATGAATACTCGGATGAGCAGGTTCGTATAAATTCAGCATTCCTTCCACATCGTTGCTAACTCTTTCACTAAACTTTCCTTCTCCTTCTTTGAACTTACTAAATACGTCTGATTTGGCATAAATATTCACAATAAATGGTTACGATTTTAAAACATTTCATCATTTAAGTCATTTGATGTAATTTTTCTACTCAACCATGAGGCAGATATATATATACACCAGGTGAAATGAGATATCCATCTTGCCTCAGTAATCTGAAAAGCAAAGCAAGAGAGCATAGGTCTGAGTCAAGAATTAATTGGCCATTTTGAACGTAGTGCTTGTGAGTTTGCTGCAACACTACTGCAATTTCACTTTCAAAATGATATCTCAGACCCAGGCGCTGAATTGAATCAATCAATTCAACTTTTGAGATTGAGGGCTTCTCACTGGTAGGAACAAGCATCTTCCTCACTTCCTCTTTCAGAGTTTCGACGTGTTGCACTGTTTCACTATGATTAACTTCCCGTATAACGATAGTGTCAGAAGAAAAAATCCGTCAACGTGCGCCAAGATGTAAAAAAAAAAAAAATGGAAAGAGTAATCATAAGAGCACTTGATAACATCATTAAAGGATCTTAAAAATTAATACTACCTCCAGTCCTAATTATAAGACCTGGTTTGTAATCTACAAACCAGGTCTTATAATTATGATCGGAGCTAGTATTTACTTCTAAGCTCAAACAGCAACAGAATTAAAAAAAAAAGAAGTTAAAATATAAAATTAAGTGATGTAAGTGAGCCAACATGAGGGAAGCTCAAAGCTTCAGTATTAATTGATCATAAAATATTGAGAGAAGATATACTGTAATATGATTTGAAGAATTCAAATACCTGGGCCGTAAGATTAATTTCCCACACATGCACCGTCATTATATATGTACTCATCAGAAAGAAAGAAAGAAAGAAAGGAAGCATGGATATAAAGAGGAAAGCAGAAGAATCAGCAAGAAAAGTTTAAAGCAGTAAATTATGTATACAGAAGAGTGAGAGTGAGAGTGAGAGGCATATTGAAGGGAATGGTCGGTCCAAATAGAAGGGTGAAATTCTGCACAGTATCTTCCGATGTGGGACTCATTGGTGTGTTTTCTTGAAGCAGGAGGAACAGAAACTAATGTTGAAGCAGCAATAGAAGACGCTCTGTATCCCTCTTCTGCTTCAACTACGGGTTTTCATGGCAGAACAAAGCTTGCTTGTGTGGGTCTTATATAGAAAACCTTTTCCTTTCGTACTTACGTAAAATTATAAACGGGGTAGAATATGCGACTTTCTACCTGCAAGGTTTTCATACTGCTTGGCTATAAGATTATTAACTACCTGTTAAAAATTTTAATAACTTTTTTGGCATTATTCATCTAATAGAAGGAAAATCACATATATACGTATCACATAAAGGGCTGAACTCGCAACACCGCACCTGAGAAATACTCCTTTGGTCTTTAATATAAGACATATTTAATTAATTTGATTAGATTAAAGAAATTAGGTAAGTTAATTATATCCATGCTAAGGCTTATAATACATAGACAAAGGCCTAATTAAAGTACGATCCGCCATGAAGTTAGGCTCATAAACATATTGTACAGGAAGGCATATTTGTGATAAAATTGTTTGGTAGGATTTACTAATTTTAAAAAATTTAAAAAGAAAATATTCTATTTCATCCAAAAAATATAATGAAACATATACATACAATCCAATACAAACACTCCCTCCATTCTCATATGTGAGTCACATTCTAGAAAACTTTCATAATTTAATTCGTTTTATAAGTCACTTTGCATAGGAAGATGGACTATCAATTTTTTTCCCCTAACTTTACCCTTTTTATAATTTCGTATGAGTTGAGTAAAAGTTTGTACAGGAGATGGATTTATATTTTTAAACGATGATGCATTTAATGAAGGTAAATTGAAAAGTTTGTTTCTTTTTTAAACATTAAAATGTAACTAATCACGTCTCTTTGTTCTGGATGAGATGGTCAAATGTGATGATTGATACATTGGATGGGAGGTGCCGAGGGGGTATATATATTTATAGAGATTAAAGAGGTACTATCTTGGGTCCTATTACTAATTACTCCCTCTGGTCATAAATATAAGACCCATTTTGTAGTGTAAATTACACTACAAAATGGGTCTTATATTTATGACCGGAGGGAGTATAATTCTAAGTACTTCTTTCCTACTCAGTCCTAAATAGAGGATAAAAATATACTCCTATAGTATTAGATTTTTTCCCCTCCAATCCTGCCCCTCCTTCATTTATTGTTAGCCTCATTATGTTTCATCGGAATTGAGTTTCTTGTTACCAATCGTTAATTCAATGGAGCATTTTATTATGGATATAATTCTAGTTTTAATGAAGAGCAAAATTGAATATTTTCCTGAAAAAATGCCAAACTTTTCAATAATAAGAAACAATTTTTTAAAAAAATATAAAACTTTTTAGGAAAAGGAAATAATTTTTGTTTCAAAACACATGAAACTTTTCAGAAACAAAAGAAGTTTTTCTCCCTAAAAGCATGGTGTCAATAGAAGAAAAATTTGAAAACGTTTAAGAAAACAACACGCATACTGTTGAAAAAGACTTGTAACCATGGAAAATTTGTGGTCTTCATTTGCTTATGGAACACCAATGAAAAAGTTTACAGTGATTAATGCTCGACTAATGAATTTGTGGGTATGAGAGGGAAGAAACTTGTCGGTGATAATAATGATGACCGGTGAGAAAAAGACACAAGAAAATTAGTCAAACAACTAATTTATATTCACGCCTCAAAACAAAATAAGAAAGCCACACAGAAACGTCAAATTCATAAGCAAACATGATTCGATAATAGCTAGGAATATATCCACATCACCCACAAACTTGATATACACAACGAATTCAAATAACAAGTCTTATCGCGAGTTTACAGCTAAAATTCTTGTTTGCAACTATCTAAATTGGTATTTACGACTCATTTTAAAAAAAAATTTGAATATATCTGTCGTTAAGTTGATTTTTTGAGGCCTAATTATCAATCTTATTAAAATTTGGTAATGTTAGGTTGATCCATTAGTATCCACCACATAAAGAGTAAGACGCCATTTTCGGGGTTTCTATTTAAAGAAAATTAAAATCCGATCCCAAATGAATAAATTAATTATACAGAAATCCTCTTTAAAGTCACTTAGGAAAATCCCATTTGACCTTGACAAGTTCAACAAATTTCTAATTGGTCCATAGACTCAACTTTAGTTTTAGATTTGTATATATTAGACTTTTAAATTATTAAATTGGACTTGTAAATTACTAAATTGGATTTAATTTATAAACCTATCTTGTAATTGAATAACAACATATGTTTATTAAAAATGCAACTTTATCACATTTTTTGTTGTGAATAGCTAAATTCAACTTGTTAATTTATAAATCTCTGTTGTGATTAGACAAACAACACAAACTTGCTGAGGAATGCAAATTAATATTTATGGATAGTTAATGCGTATTTGTAAATTGCTGAATTAAATTTATTAATGCAAAAGTTCCATGACTCATAAAGCCCCAAAACAAGTCGAATACAGCGCAGGTTTAGATTCATTTGAAGATAATTCAAATCTATAATACTAGTTATTGTCGTGGAAAGGAAATGTGATCTTGATTATTTTTAGTAGAATTATGAAAACATGCCTTAGCACTTAAAATTTGATTTATTGTATGAAGTTTTTTTTTTTTAAACATCTGATATATTGCACGTGAGAATCTGTTAGTTAGGAAATAATTTTTCAGCCATTGATTTATATTTTCTAATTTATGTACTATGTCATTAATCTATTTGAAACCGCATAGTTTACACAGGATCAACATACTTTTATGCATCAATATTTCATATATAATAAAAATATCAAACATACATTTATTCATATGAAAAACGCAGTTTTCAATTTAGAATTTTTAACACGAAATTTGAGGAATTACTTTTCGATCACTCAAATATTCAATAAAAGTATAACATGTTTAAATCCAAAAAGCCGTGTGACAGGTCAAAATTAAACTCGCAAGGATCTGTAGTATTATGGAAGGTTCTTTAACGTAATAATACATTTTTATTCATGCCTCAAAAAAAGAGAACAATAAACAAACTTCAATTCTTAAACAAACACAGTAATCAATAACAGCATAGTTGGATAACCTAGGAAGTAGCTAGATCACTATTACACGCGGCAACACAACGAATTCAAATGACAAGTCCTAAATATAAAATATATAAAGCTGCGTCACGGCTCAATGGGTATGGGGTTCAAGAGGAGCTGGACGACATAATGTTTGAGAGACTTGCCATTGGTAAATCTGTCTTCTTGATTTTCATAGACAACCTCAATCCCTTGGGCAAAATTGAGGACAAAACCAAGCGCGGACTTTGGAACATCATGTGGATTGTTCAGGCACTCCTCATTAATATCCTTCCAGTAATTTTTGATGTCTTCATCGAGTATTTTATAGGCTTCTTCTTCTGAAATTCCATACTGCTTCATGCAACATTCCACTCCTGAAGCAACATGCCCTCTCTCCTGCTCAAACTACATGTCCATGCAAAAAAAAAAAAACAGTAAAACTATTTGTATTTGTTTCTTCCAACTAATATAAGGATTATGTATGTGCTTTATGACATCACTATTAATCTAAAATGTAAGGATATATAAAAAGAACAATAGTTTATATACTTACGGGCAAAATTTTAAAGTCTTTATGGCCGCAAAAATTTGGTAATTGAATTTTGTTTTAAATCATGCCCTCCTCGATTGCAACAAACTGTTGGCATGCTTTTTTTTTTTTTTTGGGAAAACATATTATTGTAATCTTTAATTTTAGTGAAGGACGAGATTAGAACGTCATATATTTCTATAAATTTAAAGATATCAATAACCACTTCTTCATAACCGTAAAATTAATTAATTTTGCCCTATAATTAAGACTAAAAGAACCATTTCATTTGAAACATCAAAATTAATTGACATGGGTAGAATCCTTCGTGTCTTCAGTTGTACCTTATGAGAGGCCATGTCATCCATGAGTCTAGCAATAAGTGAGCCAGCCCTAACTATTTTTGGATTTGTGGAAATCCAATCAAACACCTCTTTGGTTGCAAGGTTTCCGAGGCCCAGAAATGTAGTTATCTGAAGTGGGAAAGTGGAGGATACAACGCCATTATCCTTGTACTCCTCATAACTTGGAATATAGTTTTCATTGCACCATTTTGCTTCCATCAAGTATGCCTTCGTCAAGTTATAAAACTACAACCAAAAACATGTACGTAATTAACTACTAAGTTACAAATCGAATAAAATGTAACATCCTTCAAGATCACTTATAGCATACCGCTTGTTTAACAAGTGGGATCACAAAATTTGACGTTCCTTC